GTTATCATTCATTTCGTTAGGCTATCTCGTGAATTACTCCATTATCTTTATATTTCTTGTCATACTATCAATATCGTATTGTCATAGAGGAACTATTGTGCTTATTCACACGGACATCAAACTATGACTTATGGAATTATAAAAATCACTCACAATCATTATACTGTGAATAATGTATTCACGTGATAACATTGGCAACTCTCTGGATTATTTCCTATTACTGGATAGCGCAAACGATGTCCCTGCTTGAAATGAGTTCATTTCATTTTTTCGCAGGGTCATTTTACTTCATTATTTTGTTCTCATCCCTGCAGCTGAAGTCATTTTGCATTAACAGATCCTATTTTCCTCCCCGTATGTGCATGCCTTTTATTAAGACCGATCAAGATTATTATGAACCGAATCGTTTATCACAGCAATGGCTTTTTGAGACTAGTTATTCAGTATCATTAATTTACGTGGATATATGGTTATCACAAGGAAGATAGTTCCGACGTACTGATCAGTTGATCGAACCCCCAACATCTTGTAAATTGGTGGTATGACGACACTCACATGCTCATGAATTATCAGTCTAATCAATCGAGTGAACCTCCTGCAGGCTAAAAACAGCATGTTTTCAACTACCACAACTCTGTCAACGTTTAGCAACGCTATCACAAACATGAGTTTGCAGTCGTAAACTCAATAGCAGCAATATGTTCTCGATATGCAACTAACGTTCATTCATCGCATTTGTATGCAGCAGTCACTTTTCCATTGAACTTTCTTAACATATCTGCAACCGCTTGTTTAATTGATGAGCCTCGCTATAATGTCTATCCATTCAGCATATTTGTTCACGAATATAAAACTGCACTCTACATTCATTACTCCTAATCATACGATTACTGCACTTATTTTCCGTTTCCACTGAACTGTAAATCAGAACATGAAGTTGAGAGCTAATCTCTCAAAGAAACACTAATGTCCGTTGTATTCAAGTCAGTTTCATTTGTCCGGGATATACAGTCGTATGTATTTGTATCTTCTTTAGGCTTTAGTAAGGTTGAGCACATCTCTTTCCAATAGTTTACACTATGTTAAGCATCACGACCAAAAAGGAATACGACTTCATGTATCTTGTCTCCACAATCATTAATTTTTTCCTCGGGTCATTCTAAGATCGCTCGAAGTATCTGGTTGTAATTCCAGTGACAATGTATAATGACTTCACATTTTATTATTATTATCAGTTGCACTACAACAATGTATGTCATCCACAATGGAATCATCATTTCATAGTTCGATTGACCTTACCCTACATACAAAAGCTCTACGTTATGTAGATAGATGCATAATCAGAAATCGTTAATCGACGCTGAACTCTATTGCGGCTTATTCAAATACGTTCATACCTAAATATTCTTTATTTGCATGCTTTTTCAGCGCCACGGATCAATTTTCGCGATTTATTCGATTGTCATACGCACAAACAATAAGCGGTTAGTCACATGCGCATGTTAATTTTTTCAATATGTTTATAATCAGTCCCACGTTACCATTTTCATTTATGTCCGCGCCTATATTTTGTTACAAAAGTTTGACACTTTCGCATCAAACACTCATTTCTCATATATCGTCGTCCTCTATCCAAAATCGTAAATTCTTTTCCCTACTTAACAGTTGCGTGAACGATTGCATGAAATAAACTCAACTAATTAAATCCGTATTCGGGTCCTTATTATCGCCATCGCACAAACGGGGTTCGCCCTAAGCACAATATGTGGAAATTGAATGAAAGATTGATTTCATAGCATATTTAATCGTGCATCCGAATCGAAGTCAGATGTCGGGCCACTAAATACCCCTTTCATATCTGAGATATACACGAACTTTCATTCTTAAAATAAATCAATCTTGAGAAATATTTTCAGATGTAAAACATAAAGCGAATCTTCCAATTTCTGTAAATCTTGCATAGAAAATAGTTAAATCAAATCGGTAACATACTTATCAGAATCTTGGAACAACATACAACTATGATAGTTTCTGTGGAAAAAACGAATAACATTTGATGCCTTTCACAAATTCTAACTCATTGTATTTAAGTGGCTAAAGTACGTTTGAAAATAAATCTAGGTAAAATGTTTCTGAGATAATTTTTATAACATCAATTGTAAATTAAACTAATGGTTAAGACCAAACCAGTAGTAAGGTTTATAACCTAAACAAAATTACAATTGTTTACAATAGGAAAAATTAGTGGAAATTCGAAGGAAATTGAGGACTTTTCAAGCATACGCTACGATATCCATTGATTAACTATGAAGTTATGATATAACTTCACCTGGTAAGCTGTAACTGAAAATGGTTTCACAGTTGCTACTAAATAAGGCGAATCCCAGTTATCCTTGAATAACCAAAGTGTGTGTGACTTGCTTCGCCTCACTTTCGATTTTATAAACACAGACTTATTTTAATTCATTTAAATAAAATTTAGTGAATTCTGACTAAAAAAAAGGAGCATCGTAAATATTGACTATTTGAAAATAATATGTAAATTGATTTGATGAACTCTCTGATCAGTTAAAGAATGCTCATTTGTTAGTTTCTACCAACAAAAATAATATAATGATCAAATTTTTGTTATCAGAAAAGCGACATTATATTATTTCAAAAACTCATTAGTTGTATAAATGGTTCAGTAATACTGTGATACGATGGTGACCCAGTTTTGCGTAGTGAAGTAGACATAAACAATAAGATTTATGAAGAAAATTTGAGTGTGGATTATTACAGTCCGTACATAACATAAATTACTTTTGTATTCAAAACATACATTCAAGCATATTAATGTAATCAGAATACAAAAACTGTATTTAAAAAATAAATGCCTTTAAAGCAAGTAAAATTGAATCCTTATGGTCGCTTCTTAAGTTATAATATAAGAACTTTTGTTACATGCAGTAATAGTAGTTCAGATGGTGATAATGTGGTAGTTTACCACCGTACTGACGACTGTTGTTATATAACGCGAGTCATCACAATTCATTTCCGGGGCCCGAGATTTGATTCCAGTTTATTATGATTACATGTAGTCTTAATGAATTTTGAAATGAGTTAGATTATAAATAGATGTTCTATAATTGTGACATCTAATAGTTTACTAGTATCGACCCATTTCTGATGTGATATACTTCTTAAATGATACCTTCATCACTAATCTTTTTGATTACCGCTAATACTTCTACTATGATGGGATTTGAATTGACAATTACGTCTCAGTGCCGTGGTAGATGACTGACTGAATATTAGATATACGATGGAACATATACATGACTGTATTTAGTTTTCTAGGCCTTGTTATAAAGCTTAATACAAGTAGTCGATGGAAAATGCATTTACCTCAAGGACCTATGGGGTGAATCATACATAAACTTCATTAGCTTCTTTCCAATAAGCTACAAAATATACTTGGTTGGAACATTTTTCAATCGCTTCAGATTACGTTCTGAACAAAAACTGGTGAGGAATTAGCCATGGGTGAACTGTTTACTTGATGCTGGTTACCTATAAAAATGCATAAACAAGTGTGGGAACTAAATCAAAGGAAATGTAGTATGTCATGGTTGAGAAGAAGCCCATCTTCCTGATACTCGTTTTTAAGGTGACGAAATCACAAAAAGCATTGACTCCTGATAAAAAGCTATATAAAAAGGATGTATCCAGCCTCCAAGCAGATTTTTCTGTATCACAAGAATCCCTCATTAAGATAGTCATATGTGGACAAAGTCCATTCTTTGCCACCTCAAACTATCTACCAGCTTACACGTACGTGTCAAAGAACATACGTCAGAAGAACAGGAAGCAGAGTTAGTGTCCTCATTCCATAGAAGCATAGGATAAGAAGACATTCTTAGCAGTGCACTTGCACGCCACTCGCTCGACAGTTGATGAGGTTATTTCAAGGTCCTTCAAGCAGATCAATGAACGTCAAGTTTACTACGGTTGGCTGAAGCGATCGCTATGAAATTGAAACAAAATCTCTGCATTCAAAAGGAATCAGCTATCAATCTTGCTTTGTCGTGATGATATCATTCATGAATGTTTGCTACGTAAAATTCTCGTAATTATTAATTAATTCTCACTTCTGATTTGAAATGTACTCAATCAGTCAGTTTTAAGAGTTACATAACTATAACACTAATATTTCATCCCCAAATAATGCTGTTTCTATGTTCTTAGTTGTTTATTGCAGAATATTATTATGTTCGATTTATAAATATTCATAGTATTTAGCTTATAAATATTATCTCTTATGGTCCCTATTTCACTGGTGAGAGAATTTCCTGTATTAAGATATAAAGTATGCACATTGGTTTTCAATCATTAGTACTATTACATTTAGGTTGTAAGCAATTAACGAGAAGTCAGTCAGTCAGTTACAACGTAGAACTTTGTACGTGCGTACATACGTTCAGGTTGCTAAACCACATTAGCACAGAGAGGCAACAAGAAACCGTAAGATAGAATGAATTCATTGTTATTCTGATACATTAATTGTTCTTGCTTTATTCAAGTGATCAAAATCTGTTGGGTTATTTTGCGAACAAACCTCAAATAAACCCTATAAGCGGATGAAATCGATGTAAAGCCTCAAATAGTGAGACCATGCAAGCACTTATTCTTTTTTTGAAAGATTTCAAAAAATAACTGAGTCTAGCTGTAGAATTTTTATGCGTGTTTTTCACAATTGATTCATTTTTTAGATGTCAAGATTTTTTTTACATACACATATCGACCAGAAATGTGACTATGACATAATTAAATCAATTTTGGCAATTTCTCTACACTATTTAAACTTAAGTTGATTTACTCTGAAGAAACGACTGACACTAAGTCACGAAGTATTTCATCATATACTAATGAATAACAAGCTTGAAATTTAAGTTCACTGTCTACAGATTAGCCTTAAAAAACACAAAATATGTGTAACTTATGTAAAAACCAAAACAAAATCTTCCGTAATTTTCATTTATGATTTACATGTTTGCAAGTTATAGATACGATAACCATACCTTTTATGCTGCAATAGAGAATAGGACAGAATTTTGTTAACTAAACAATACAATTATCTGATTATTTTCATTCTAATTGAATATCAAATAAAAACATGAAAAAAAAAGACCTACAGAACTACCATCGACTAAATTACTGAATTTTGATAACTCTAGAAAATCATTACATGCATAAATGAATTAAATCAAACACATAATTCATACACTTTAAGGTTGAATTATTACAGTCTGGCGCCTAAATAGTGGGTACGAAATAATTATACAGAATAAAATATACAAATTACTTGCAAAAATTCTGGGTAACACAACTCTTATTAACTAAAGACAAATAATACGCAATCTACTTATGAACTATTGAAATATTTAAGTTATAAAGGAAAGAATACTCATACATAAATGTATACACAAACTATAACGATTTTAACTGTCACTAGTTGCACCATAGAAAGCTATATGAAAAGAAAAATTGATAAGTTTCCAAAACTCGCAAATCAACAGTGCACTTGAAGTATTTTCTTAAAGTCTATTGTTTAGGTCTGAAGGAAATATGTTCGTGGATCCTCAACAAATTCCTTGATTTTGCGTAGAAACAATACTGCTTCACGACCGTCGATCAGACGATGATCATAAGTTAGGGCGACATACATCATTGGACGGATGACAACCTGTCCTCTCAGTGCAATCGGTCGATCAAATACGCCATGCAAACCTAAGATTGCAGATTGAGGTGGATTGATTATAGGAGTACTAAATAATGAACCAAACACACCACCGTTGCTAATTGTAAAAGTTCCTCCATCCATATCTTCCACGGCTAATTTGCCGTCAAGGGCTTTCGCACCTAAATCACTGATACCACGTTCAATATCAGCGTAGTTCATTTTCTCCACATTGCGCAATACAGGGACGACAAGACCCTTCGGGGTTGCTACTGCAATACTAATATCAACATAATGTCTGTATATAATGTCTGAGCCATCAATAACAGCATTGACGACTGGCTGGTCCAGAAGGGCAACTGCAGAAGCTTTAGTAAACGTAGACATCATCCCCAACTTTACACCGTGTTTTTTCAAAAAGATGTCTTTGTACTGACTTCTAAGTTCGATAAGGTTTGACATATCAATTTCATTAAAGGTTGTCAACATTGCACATGTGTTCTGGGCATCTTTCAGACGTTTTTCAATTCGGAGTCTCATACGGCTCATCTTTACACGTTGTTCTACACGCGCACTATCAAGAGATGTCGGTACGGATGAAGTCGTTGAAATACTTTGACTAATTTCTGGAGTTGGAGTATGGGTAACTGATGGAGGAACCTGAGGTGAGGGCAGAGGTCTCTTTTCAGACTCTTTTTTCACATGCTCTTGGGGTGGCTTTTCAACAACCGCGGGAGTTGGAGCAGCACCTTCCTCCAATTTAAAAATATCTTGACCTGCAGTAACTTTTCCTCCATCTTCAACAAGTAGTTCTGTTATCACACCCGAACATGGCGCTGGAACAGGTACATTGGTCTTGTCAGTTTCAATCTCTGCAATAACATCATCTGTATTTACTGAGTCACCAACGGCTTTTTTCCAAACAATATCACCTTCTGTGACAGATTCGGCGAATGGAGGTACATTTACTACACGTATGGCAAAAATATGAGGATTGAAGTGTAGCTGTCGTACAGATAACCTGATTTAATTAAAAGAAAACAAGATTTTGATAGAATCTATGAAATTGAAGTACATAAAACTCTATAACTAACCGCCAAATATCTCAGGCAACATAAAAAGGCGATCCTCAGTAGGATAATTATAGATTTTTAGTACAAACTAACCAAAAGAACTCGAAGTCGAAGCTAGATTACTAACAGTGCGCTACAACGTAGAACTTCGTACGTAAATACATCAGTTCAAGTTGACATACCACATTAGCACAGAGACGCAACTGTCTTTTTAAATCCCATAGTACTAGAGGTAGTAAAAGTACTAGTAGTAATCAGAGAGATTAGGGTTCGAAGATATTTTTCAAGAAGGAATATCTATTGAAATGAACTTAAAAGAAAGAGATTAGGTGATGAGGAATTCAAAAAGGTTAAGATTTGAGAGAACAGAAAGATTGGATGCGTGTACGCCATTGCAAACGATTTTGAGTCGTGTCATTCAGAGTCCGTTACCATCGGTTACTATCATCTTGAAGGCCCCAACCAGGTAGCCTACATCTACTAACATGACTCAGTCCACTTGTCAGTCACTACATGGATGTGTGCCATGTTTTGGTCTGGCCACCCCTAGCTTTCTTCCAACCTACTCCTACACCACAAAACATAGATCGTCGAGGCAGTCGGTGGTTAGGCATATGTAACACATGTCCAAACCACCTCAACTGATGAAGTTTCACTACTTCATCAATTGATTCGCCATCCCTTTCTAGAACTCGTTTCCTAACGACAGCATTGCTTGTACAGTTGTCCCAGGATACACAAGCAATGCTTCTAAGACATCTATGATCGAATACTAGTAACCTACGAAAGTCCTCTACTCTGACTGGCCATGTTTCACAGCTATCAAGTAGGACGGAGCGAACTGCTGCGCAGTACACCCGTCCTTTGGTTAGCAAACGGATATCTCGCCTGCGCCATAGGTGACGCAAGTTAGTAAAAGCCAATCGAACCTTCTGTATGCGTGCAGAGATTTCGTCAGTCACCAGAGCATCAGCACTGATTATACTCCCAAGATAGGTGAAGTGGCCAACACGCTCAACTACTTTACCCCCTATCACTAGTTCAGGTGCCGATGCAACCTAATCCTGAAGCAACATTTTGCATTTCGAGGGGGAAACCGTATCCCGAACATGCTTGCATTGTTGATTATGGTAGTCAGAAGACTCTGCATTTTGTCAGCATCTTCACCGAATAGAACTGTCATCGGCATATTCTAAGTCCGCAAATAGCAGCCACGAAGTAACATTCGCAGTTTTAGCAGCTAGGTTGACTGAGATCTAAGGTAGAATCTGGGAACTTGACATAATCCTATCTGACTGGTCTCAGTCGCTAATTCTCCCAATCTACAAGAAAGGACAAAAGTCCTCTTGTGACAATCACAGGGGAATAAGTCTAACTAATATAGTTTCTAAATTGTTAGCCTCCATTATACATAGATGTCTAACTAGAACTCATGAAGAGCAGACTAGAGAACACCAGTCTGGTCCTCGACCCGGACGTGGTTGTATAGACCACATTTTCACACTACGACAGGTCCTGGAACACAGACACACATTTAGACGTCCGACAATAGTCGTGTTCCTGGACCTTAAGGCAGCATTTGACTCAGTGGATCGTGAGGTTCTGTGGCAGTTTCTGTCATTGAAAGGTGTACCAAAGAAGTACATTAACCTTATACAAGCTCTCTACTCGAACACTACAGGTTGAGTGAGAGCTTATGGCGAACTGTCACTGACAAAATGCAGAGTCTTCTGACTACCATAATCAACAATGCAAGCATGTTCGGGATACGGTTTCCCCCTCGAAATGCAAAATGTTGCTTCAGGATTAGGTTGCATCGGCACCTGAACTAGTGATAGGGGGTAAAGTAGTTGAGCGTGTTGGCCACTTCACCTATCTTGGGAGTATAATCAGTGCTGATGCTCTGGTGACTGACGAAATCTCTGCACGCATACAGAAGGTTCGATTGGCTTTTACTAACTTGCGTCACCTATGGCGCAGGCGAGATATCCGTTTGCTAACCAAAGGACGGGTGTACTGCGCAGCAGTTCGCTCCGTCCTACTTGATAGCTGTGAAACATGGCCAGTCAGAGTAGAGGACTTTCGTAGGTTACTAGTATTCGATCATAGATGTCTTAGAAGCATTGCTTGTGTATCCTGGGACAACTGTACAAGCAATGCTGTCGTTAGGAAACGAGTTCTAGAAAGGGATGGCGAATCAATTGATGAAGTAGTGAAACTTCATCAGTTGAGGTGGTTTGGACATGTGTTACATATGCCTAACCACCGACTGCCTCGACGAGCTATGTTTTGTGGTGTAGGAGTAGGTTGGAAGAAAGCTAGGGGTGGCCAGACCAAAACATGGCACACATCCATGTAGTGACTGACAAGTGGACTGAGTCATGTTAGTAGATGTAGGCTACCTGGTTGGGGCCTTCAAGATGATAGTAACCGATGGTAACGGACTCTGAATGACACGACTCAAAATCGTTTGCAATGGCGCACACGCATCCAATCTTTGCGTTTTCTCATATTATAACCTTCTGAATTCCTCATAATCTCTTTCTCTTTCTAAATTTATCTTACTGAACTATACTTCTTGAATCATATTTTCAAACCCTAGTCTTCTTGATTACCATTAATATCCCTACTATCTTTATCACTATGGGATTTGAACTGACAAATGCCTCTGTGTGTCAACGTGGTATGGCAACATGAACTTATCTACATACGTACGAAGTTCTACGTTGCACTTGACTGACTGACTTCTGAAGTGTTAGCCCCGATTATCCTTAGACGCCTAACTAGAGATCGTGAAGAGCAGACTAGAGAAAACCAGGCTGGTTTTAGACTTGGATGTGGTTGACTCAGAATATGCCGATGACACAGTTCTACTTGAAGATGCTGAAAAAATGCAGTGTCTCCTGACCACACTAAATAACAAGGTAAGCATGTTTGGGATGCGATTCCGCCCGTCCAAATGCATAATGTTGCTTTAGGATTGGCTTGTGTCGGCACCTGATCTAGTGATAGGGAGTGAGGCAGTTGAGTATGTCAACCGCTTCACTTATCTCGGTAGTCAGTCAGTCAGATGCAACGTAGAACTTCGTAGGTAAGTACATCAGTTCATGTTGCCACACCACATCAGCACAGTGATATATTTGTCAATTCAAATGCAATAGTAGAAGAGGTAGAAAAGATATTAGAAGTAATCGGAGAGGTTGGGATTAGAAGATATTATTCAAGAAGTATGATTCAATGAGAAAAGTTTAGAAAGTCAAAACTAGAGGGGTTGAAGAATCCAGAAGATTAGGATTTGAGAAAACACAAAGAGTGGATGCACCTGCACCAGTGCAAACGGTTTTGAAGCCGTGTCATTCAGGGTATCTAACCATCGATTATTATCATCTCGCAGACCCAAACCAGGTAGTCGACAACTACCGACATGGCTCAGTCCACTCGTCAATGACTTCATGGATGTGTGCCATGTTTTGGTCTGGCCACCCCTAGCTTTCTTCCAACCTACTCCTACACCACAAAACATAGATCGTCGAGGCAGTCGGTGGTTAGGCATATGTAACACATGTCCAAACCACCTCAACTGATGAAGTTTCACTACTTCATCAATTGATTCGCCATCCCTTTCTAGAACTCGTTTCCTAACGACAGCATTGCTTGTACAGTTGTCCCAGGATACACAAGCAATGCTTCTAAGACATCTATGATCGAAAACCAGTACCCTACGAATATCTTCTACTCTCACTGGCCAATCTCGGTAGTCAGTTAGAACGTAGAACTTCGTACATGAGTAAATAACTCCAGGTTGCCATATCCCATCAGCACAGAGACGCAACTGTCATTTCCAATCACATGGTGGTAGCGATAGTAGAAGTATTAGCAGTAATGGAGAAGATTAGGGTTCGAAGATATGATTCGAGAAGTATAATTCATTAATATAACTTTAGAAAGAGAAAGATAGAGATGATGACGAATTCAGGTTGGAATTTGAGAGAACACAAAGAATGAATGCACCTGCGCTATTGCAAGCGATTTTGAGTCATGCCGGTTAAGGTCTTTAACCATTGGTGACTTTTGTCTCGCAGACCCCAACCAGGCAGCCCACATCTACCAAGAAGACTCAGTCTACTTGTTGGTCATCATAGCTGCTACCTTGACATGGTCTGGATTGCCTATCGTGATGACCCAACCGAGCTATATTGGCTGGAACATATGTTCCTGTAGGTCCTAGCATGCCAGCCAGCTCGATTGGAGAGCGATGAAACTGAAAGCAGCTACTGAAGGTCTAAGGGTGAAGTCGTACTGCTGACTTTATTGAGATGTGATAGCAGTAAGATGTTTCCCTCAGACAACCAGCAAGAGAGGAGCTAACACTCCAAAATCCTCTCATTAAAATGCTGTGCGTGACCGGCCTTAAGCAGTTATCCCTTGGACTCTGAGGTCACGCTCCCAGGTCGTTAAGACCAACGCTAATCTACCTTCCTTTGCAGGTTCCTCAGCAAACACCCTACCACGGAGTGAGTAGCCGGGAAGTGATAACCGCCCTCATACGCGTAACGGCACGCTAGACCATATTGGTCACAAACAAATCCTTCCTAAACCCCCTAACATTTCTCTCATCTTGGTAGTCTCATCAGCTCTGATGGCCTGGTGCGTGACGAGGTGTCGGCTGAGATACAGAAGGCTCGATCGGCTTTGCCAACTTGCGTCATCTATGTCGCAGGGGAGATATCCGTCTGCTGACTAAAGGACGAGCGTACTGCGTAGTAGTCCGCTCCGTCCTACTTTATGGTTATCATACATGGCCAGCCAGGGTAGAGGACTTTCGTAGGTTGCTTGTTTTCGATCATACGCGTCTCCGAAGCACTCATTGCTCGCGTATCATGGGACGAACGAGTAAGCAATGCTCTTGTTAGCAAACAGATCCTAGATAAGGATGCCAAGTCAATAGATGAAGTAATGAAACTTCATCAGTTGAGGTCATTGGGACATATGGTACGCCGACTACCTCGTCGAGCTATTTTTTGCGATGTATGGTTAGATTGGAAGAAAGCTAGGGGCGGCCAAACCAAAACATGGCAGAAATCCATGAAGTCATTGACAAGTGGACTGTTGGTAGGTGTCGACCACCTGGTTGGGGCCTTCAAGATGATAGTAACCGATGGTTACGAACTCTGAATGACAGGACTCAAAATCGTTTGAAATGGCGAACACGCATCCAGTCTTTTTGTTCTCTCAAATCTTAACCTTTTTGAATTCCTCATCACCTAATCTCTTTCTTTTAAGTTCATTTCAATAGATATTCCTTCTTGAAAAATATCTTCGAACCCTAATCTCTCTGATTACTACTAGTACTTTTACTACCTCTAGTACTATGGGATTTAAAAAGACAGTTGCGTCTCTGTGCTAATGTGGTATGGCAACTTGAACTGATGTATTTACGTACGAAGTTCTACTTTGCCATTGATTGATTGGTCTGAACAACCAGGGAAGGTTACCGCAAAGCTCAAAAGAAAATTGCTTGAAGCCGGTTGCGCTTGTCCTTCCTATGGAAAGTTTATAACGCTAGCTGCGCCCTTAAAAAAGACTTACCATTGGAGACGCGAATCCATGTAGTACGGTGGGGTGTGAAACTTTGAGGGTCGACATTTTTCTACAATTTTTATTTCTTAAGAGAAGGCAGCAACGCTGCAGATGCTGGTTGTCCAAAGGAAACACCTTAATGATGTTACAACCTTGTAAAGTTGGCAGTATGACTTTGTTCTCAGACCTTAGGTGGCTACTTTCAGTCTTACTGCCTGCCTTCTAGCAGACCTGTTTGGTGAGGTAGAACCCAAAAGGAATGTGTTCCAAGCCAGACCACCACATCAAGGTGGCACCTGAGGTTGGGTAGCAGTATAATTTCTGATTTGACTCATCACGTTTTTCTAACTCACCCTTACACCTAATAGGACAAAGGTTTAGTACAAATCCCATTACTGTTAATTCGGCCATAGGACACCTCGTCTCTACAGAATATCACTGCTAACCACTATTATAATAAAAGTACTGAGTGGTGAAAGGAGTAGGTTTCGTTAGGCGAGATAAGAAGTTTAACGATGGGAGATAATACTTCCTAGATGGTATTTTAGAACTTCCTACCAATTAATAGCAACAAGGTGACCAACCTTACGAAAAGCAACTAAGCTATGCAAACCAATTTTGGACTTCAGCTTTAGTGGCTACTGTGAATGCTACCAGTTAAATCTTAGGATGAAAATCTCAAAAATGGTTAGCCATATAAATTATTTTAAATTTTTATAGACAGACAAGCCAGTCACAGAGCTACAATATGACCACAAATTGAATTTTTGTTCGAGTAGAAATAAGTCGGCTCAAAGGAATTGTAAAATGGATTAGTTGTGACAACCGGCTTTGTTAACTGCTTAATACAATATTTATAACACTAATGAGTGCAGTAGATGATTTTTCATCATATTATGTGATGTATCTTTGATTAATCGTAGAGGAGCTGCATTCGTTGTTCAATAGTGCTGAAGCAAGCGCCCCATCTACAAAATAATTCTATGCTAATCCTGACGCACGACAAAGATATGGATAGAAAATGAGTGGTTTGTGATAGTTCAAGTCTGTGTCATCCTAAGAACATGCAGACTTGAGCTGATTCACATTAAACTCACCTTGAGGTAAAACTAGTGCTATGGTTTGATAAGTTATTCGGTCCAGAAACTGTACATGTATGACAACGAAGACTGATATTCACACAGCGCTTTACAAAAGCATGCGGAAGAAACGGCGGTAATCTCATTGCAACTTTAACTTCAGTCTTTGGCTAGTTTGTCTTTAGCAACTAGGTACTTTGTGTACTGGAGATGCGTGAGAAGCAGTGTGGTGTTATCTGGACGAAGAAAGAACAAGAGAAAAAGGTGAGCACATGGAATGAACTTACATTCAATAGAGACAGCAATACACAGCAACGGGAAATAAAGCCAGCATGAAATCAAGACAAACTGATAATCAGAACTAGAAGTTAGTAAAGTTAGGTTTCGAATGCGTTACACAACAACTTAACTCATTCAGGCGCTTTAGCTAGACGTAAATCAGTCACCAGTTAAAACAAAGCTGTGATCACCTCGGCTAGGAGAGCATCCCAAGTTGCAAAAACTCCTAATAAGAAGAGGTGTTCAAGAAACTAAGTGTTCGCTCTTTTATAGGCAATTTTTTGGGAATTATCACGAGGGCGTGGTAGCGATGATTCGGTAAGATGCTCACGTTGTAATGGTTGGGAGTGCTTAATAAGTTGTACGCCATCATCAGATCACCTCTAGTCCTCCAGTACCTCATAGATGATAATCTCAAGTTCTGGAGTCTGTATTCAAAAAATTTGCTTATGAGCTCTACCACCCATTTAGTTGCTCGTCTTTGCACTCTGAGGAGAAATTAGGTAGCCGATTTCTAATTAGGGTATAAGTCGCTTGAGTTATGGTGGAAGAATTTCCTCTTCTCCTAAATGTCTCCGTCTTCACCACTCTTATTATAGAACACAGGTCGCTGTCACAATTTCCTTATTATTCAAAGTATTTAATGATTGATACAAATATTGGATTTCAACACTGGTAAAACCTACCTCTATGCGGATGACCTAAAAATGATTTATCAAACTAGCAAATCTGACTTCGGAAACTTGTTGCACACAATCCAGCACGAACTCAATACTGTAGATGTCTGGTGTAAGCAATGGAACCTTCAACTTAATACTGAGAAGTGTGGCTGGATGTGTTTAGGAGACACGTCTCCCAAATTAGATCTCATTCTCATCAGGAATGTATTGCCCAAACTCACATCCGTAACTGATCTTGGAGTCCATTATTCGCACAACCTAAACTTCTCCGAACATATCTTCAATAAAGTTTCTCGAATGAGAAGAATGCTTGGTTTCATCTTTCGTAACTTCCTTCACAGAGAATCCAGAACAATTCTCTATAAAACATGCGTAAGACCTATTGCTGAATATTGCTCTTTATTATTTTTTAACGTGCGCCTGTCTGATATGTTGAAGCTTGAAGGAATACAAAGGAAATTTACTCGTAAAGTCCTAAATCATAGCTCATCCATTGACTAACCAACCCGATGTATTGAACTCGGGCTCGATCCATTATGGAAAAGAAGGCTTAAGTCCAATCTGATCCTTTACTTTAAACTCCTGCACAAGCTCACATATTCCTCCTGCAGTTTAGTCCTTATCCATGGCCCTTGTACACATAACCTTCGAGATAAAGTATCTACGGTCAAACTTGAGAAGTATAGATCCAAAACTCGAGAAAACTTCTTCCTCTCTAAGTATGCACTTATATGGAATAGGCTTCCCTCAAAAATACGCATGGCAAGTGGGTTACATGAGTTTGTTCAACTTCTTAATGATGTTCTCAGTTGCACTGACTCTCCTGCGCTCGTGAACTCACTCGCACCCTGCTTTCATATTAATAGCTCTGCATACACTTTAAACACAATGAACTCAGTGCTGCGTCTTATTTAGTTATTTTTACACTCCCAAGTAGCACTAATTTTTCTAGTTGAATATAAATCTCTTTAGTTTTTATTTGAAATAGACAGGTTACTATACTAACTGGGTCGTTCGACACTGTTCAACTGTAAACTGGTTGATTAGAATGCACTCTACTCTCCTGGGCGCAACCTCATCAACACTTACAACTGTGTGAGTTCCACATTGCCTATTATCAATTATACTGTTCTCACTTACACGCTATTGACTTACCTTGGCCCCTTAGTGTTATCTATTGCTCCGCTTTTAACCGCGATACTCTTTATGTCTCCTGCTTAGCTAGTTAAGTACATCTTCCCCACTACATTCTAAATGCTTATATCTTGTTTGAAAATTCTTACTATTTCTCCATAACTGTTAACTGTATAGCATTGATGCCTAACCAATAGTTCATAAGTTGTAATAGCCAGACGAGTTTATGAAAGGAACTTGCAGAAATAGTGTTTCTCAACAGGATGCGAGACATAGAACACCAAGTAGAACTCAATAGCTTCTTTTAAACATTTAACATGAGACTAACAACACAAAAGGAGGGAGGGTGGAGTTACTGACCAGCAAACATTGATGGTGCGGACGATAACTTCAAACAACCCATGTTTGTGGGGCAGAACATTTTGTATGCTTTCGGCTCTTTAGATTGATGAGACGACTAATCAGTAACACTGAGGTTGCTCTTATACGCTTGCTACTTCTGTGGTTCATGTTTCCAAAACTATGCTGAGGTCGCTATTCTGTCGAGACACCCGCAACATTCTTACTCAGGCGCTAACAGTATGACTTAGAGGTTGGCATTCAATAATAAAGAAAAAAAACAGTTAGACAGTGCGAGATTTTATTCATCAAATTTTTATTTTTACAAACTCTACTCTTTTAACTAGAATTTCGATTTCAACGTACATAAATCCAGCTTCTTACTTCGACTTCTCTTCTATCCACCTGACACTGCACAACTCTCCCTTCTTTTTGCTGTACTCCTTTATCTGTGCGTTATATTCTTATATTCCCATAATTTACTTCAATTTAAGTGGTCAGTATGAATGTTATCTTGACTTACTACTGTATTGACTACTTTAACATGACAGGTTAAGTAGTGCTTTGGTTATATATATACACTTGCCACACTGCTGCCTTTTCCTCTCTCTCTTCTCCTTTTCAGAACCCCATTCACGGTGGGAAATCCTAGGCGACTCTAGGGAACATGCACCCAATGTACATGACTGTCTGGATCACAGCTCGTATCAAGCGCGTTCCATATGACCTTCCCCAACAAATTCACTATTGATCTCGGCCAATCGCCAATAGAACCTATTGTGCATCTTCCTTCCTTATTTGTACTCTAATATTGAAAATGTGGCTGTATAATACTGTTTCTGTCAGTGATATGGTGTAAATATGCAATCAGAAACTGACTCTTATACTTAATTTAACTGCTATAACTTTACAGTAATTGTAAAAGCATTTGTGACAATTTGATCTAGCCTGTAAACTGGCGTGACTCTTGTAACGCAGTTATTTGAGAATAAAATTATTATTATTATTATTATACAAATATACATAGCCAATAATGCCATCGAATTATTTAAACAGTTAATCTATAAACGAGCTCAAAAATAACAAGAATATAAAATTTATGCGAGATGCTACAATAGCTCCCCTCCCAGCAAACAAAGATTCAAAAATTTCTGTGTTTGCGAAAAAAAGTTTTGGAAAATATCAAAATTTACTAAATTTGAATTTATCTCCTTTGTATCAGTTCGAGTTAGTGTGCGTTCGTGAGGTTGGATACTAACAGAAGATCAAACATCGAAATACACGAAGTGCATGAAATCTAATGATAGATAAGTTAAAATCTTTGACGAAGCGAAGAAGAAAGGTTATATATGAAATGGCGAGAGAAATTATTAACTCAAAATCGTAGCTATATATATTTTTATTTCCGCCTGACTCTTCGTCTATATCTGGTCATTGGTGGACTTTCTTCGCTTTTCTGCATTGCTGTCGCTGATGGTTGGAACTCGCATTCCGGTGATTCTATGGTTTGCGAAAGATTTCTATCTTTTCACTGTTCGTCACTTCCGATAAAAGCCGGTTTGACTCGGTCGGCGCTAATTACATCAATTTTTCCAGCTTTATCTACCGGGATGGTTTTTGTCGGTTCTTCTAATTAATTTAAATGGGCCATCGTAGGTCGGTTGTGAGGGACGTTGCACAGTATCTCTTCTGATAAATGCATGGTTTGTGTCGTCCACTTTTTTCGGAGTATATACCCGATGCTGATGTATTTACAGAAGCGTTATTCTTAAGTCACTCATGTGTTCTTTTAGACAATGTACGTAGTTGGCCATATCAGTTGAGACACTTTTACTTGGGGTGAAAAACTCTGCTGGTAGACGTAGAGTAGTTCCATAAACTAACTCTGCATGGCAGCACCCAATATCTTGTTTGATTGACGATCTTAAAGCCAACATAACCAATGGGAGCTTGCCAGCTTAATCATTAGTAGTGATAACTGCTGCAAGGGATGCTTTCAGTTGCTGCTGTAATATCTCTGCCATATAATTCACCATCGGGTGGTAGGACGTTGTGAATATACATTTAATGCCGAGGAGTTCTGTCAGTTGTTGGAACAGGCGACTTTCAAATTGCGCCTCTCTGTCGATTATAATATTAGCAGGCGACCCATAATATGTCTCTTATGGGCACCGCTACAGGCGATTGAGTGAATCTGTCGACACAACTAAACATATAACAGAAGCCATTGAAAATTGGCAGTGGTCCCACGATATCGATATGTGTATGCCGAAATCCGATGTCTGGGTGATGGAAAGGACCTACTGCAGAACTAGTGTGGCGATGAACTTTAACATTCTGGCGTCTAATACACGCCTGTGTCCATTTATGAACATCCCGGTTCATATCTGGGCATACCAAGCGCACCCTGATCAGACTGATCGTCGCCTTTATTCCAGGATGTGATATATTATGCCTTGTTGCGAAAACGTTTCGTCGAATGGCTTCGGAAAAAGCGGACGTGGTCGGTCTGAAGAGATACCACACATCATACTTACGTTGCCGAGTGGAGTTTCTTGGAGAACCAAAAAGTTGTATTAGATGATCTTAGCCTGCCTAACTCAATATTCCATATTTTGCAACGCTACAAGTTTGTGATAATCAATGTTGGATTAGATGAGGGCGTCGATCATCATTCTCCATAATGCATCTATGACCTTTAATATATTGTGTGCTAGACGTAAATTGGTAAATAAATTCTAATTGTCGAATTTTCTTCGGTGAATAGTTGTCCTGCTTGGCGCTTAATGCTTTCGTGAAGGGTTTATAGTCTGTGTGCACTGTGAAAATGGTACCCCCAAGCTTATGTCGAAAATGCTTTATTGCCAAACAAGTTGCTAGAAGTTCTCCCCCAAGCGTTCTGTACTTCTGAGTGGGGCCTGATCTGTTTGTAAAAGATGAATTTGGTTCCCATATGCCGTTTACGAACTGGTGTAATACGGCTCCGACAGCGACATTCGACGAGTCA